GTATAAGTCATTATAATCAGTAATTATGTCCCCACTGGATGTAACAAATGCCTCGTTTGTAATGGGTTTTAATGTTTTGGTCTCGTCGCTCCGGCTGGGACACGGCATCAACAGTATGTAAGGGGCGTAACATTTCCGTCTCACGCTTGAGGTATTCGGCCAATCACAACGCACTGGATAGCTGGCCAATCACAGCACAGCTCGCTTTTTCAGACCTATGAGCTTTGTAAAAATCGAAGCTTTTCAAAAAGGCGGGGCATAGAGGAGAAACAATAATGTACAGTATGTGGAAAATAATGTGTTTTTTTTACTTTAAACCGCATAAACACATTTCATTACACCAAATACACAAAATAATGTTCTTTTTAGCAGCATCATATGACCCCTTTAAGGATCATGTGACACTGAAGACTGGAGTAATGATGCTGAAAATATACAGCATTAAATTGTAATAATATTCCACAATTTTTACTGTATTCTTGAACAAATAAATGCTGCCTTGGTGAGCATAGGGGACTAAAGCATTTTAAAAACATCAAAAGCATTTTACCAACCCTAAACTTTTGAATGGTAGTGTATATCTGTACACATTGTATGACGTGTAATGTAGTGCATGTGTGTGTTTCAGAGCGGCCGCTATAAGTACAGCAGTGTGTTAGGAGCGCTGCGGTGTGTGTGTCGGACGGAAGGAACGAAGGCTCTGTTCTCAGGTCTGACGGCCACGCTGCTCAGAGATGCACCATTTTCTGGGATTTACGTCATGATCTACAGCCAGGCCAAATACACGCTGCCACGAGGTCTGTACACATGCTTCAGTTTTAAATATGTGTGTGATTAAATAGGATTTTAGCAGCTTAAATGGTTAACTTTACAAAGAAACTTCTGGCTCATATTTATTTTAAGGGAAAAATGTGAATTGTGACACTTTTTTTTTTTTTTTTTTTTAAAGCACTTTATGGGCGAATGCAATATATATTGGGGAATGCAAAAGCTTTGTAAGCAAACACAAAATTTCTTGGGAAAATAAAAATTGCGCAAATTTCTCGGAGAAATGCAAAAGTTTTGCATACAAACACAACATATTTTGCAAGCATAACTGCAAGCATATCTCAAAGGAACAGATTTTCTAAGCAAACACAACATTTTTTTGGGAGAATGCAAAAATCTTGTGTGAATGCACAGTTTCTCTTTGGAATGCAAAGGTTTTGCAAGCAAACTAAAGGTTTGTAGTTTAAAAAATAGTTTTTCCTTCAAATCTTTTTTTTTTCCATCATCATATTTAGTGAGGTAACAGGCAGCAGGAATATTGCTCCTGATCTACAGATGTTTCTTCATAAGAGATAAGGAGAAAGAGTGACGGTGGATTGTGTAACAGCCGTGTGGAACATTTCCACAGACTACTGATAAGCTCTCTCTCTTTCTCTCTCTTTCAGAGATCAGTCAGTCGTCTTACGCTCCGCTAGCAAACTTCAGCTGTGGTATTCTGGCCGGTGTTCTGGCCTCTATTGTAACCCAGCCAGCAGATGTAGTGAAAACTCATGTTCAAGTGAGTCCAGACATCTTCAGCAGGACATCAGATGTGATTCGATACATTTACAAGGTAACAGATGCCCTGATTCTCCCGACATGCACCTCTCTCTGCCACTTAAGACTGGCACTCAAATAAAGCAAGAAGCAACACAGCTCATCTAATCAGATCAGACCCAGAACTATTTGTTTTATAATGGTGCTATATTAAGTGAAAAGAGTGAGTGCTGCCTGTATAAAAGTGAAGTATGTCATTTATGCAACAGCAGCTTCACCAATCAGAAGGACACAACTAATGACTGTTTTCAGACAGGTTTCCACAAACACTTTCACCATCTGCTATCGTACCTGTGTTAGAAGCCCTGTTAGAACACTCAAAAATCAGTTGGCAGTTCCTTTTGAATTTTGGGGAAAAAACTGACACACCTCATGTTTAAATCTGCAAAATTCTTCAGATTCCAAAAAGTCTGGAGATTCCATTGGGCCTCTTCAATATGAGTCTTATTAAATAAATAGAAAGGTTTGTCATTCACATTTTAGATCTGATTAGACTGACCTGCAGTGTTATTACAACTAAAACGATTACGAAACATTTTCATTAATTGAAATAAAATAAAAACATTAGATGAAACATTAGACTATAAACTAAACGGAAACTAGAAATGTTGCCTTGACAACTAACTGAAATCAAATAAAAACCATGACTTTATAAATTTATTTTTTTAATTCATTTTCATAAAATTTTTCATGAAAATGTGAATTCAAACTCTTTCGGATCTTCCAAAAACATGGACAAGGAACAAAATTACGAACTAACTAAATAAATAAATAAATAAATAAATAACTGAAAATAATATATATATAATAATATAAATAATTAAAAGCTAATTACAGCTCAAAAATGAAACCTAAAAAATGAACCTTATTTAAATATATGACGATTTGTCTGTTAGGAGCATGGTTTGGTGGGGTTTTTCCGTGGCGCGGTTCCTCGCTCTCTCAGGAGAACCATGATGGCGGCGATGGCGTGGACGGTGTACGAGCAGCTGATGGCTCAGATGGGCCTCAAATCCTGAGACTGATCAAAACTACATCAACAAGTTGGGGAATGCAAAAGCTTTGTAAGCAAACACAAAATTTCTTGGGAAAATAAAAATTGCGCAAATTTCTCGGAGAAATGCAAAAGTTTTGCATACAAACACAACATATTTTGCAAGCATAACTGCAAGCATATCTCAAAGGAACAGATTTTCTAAGCAAACACAACATTTTTTTGGGAGAATGCAAAAATCTTGTGTGAATGCACAGTTTCTCTTTGGAATGCAAAGGTTTTGCAAGCAAACTAAAGGTTTGTAGTTTAAAAAATAGTTTTTCCTTCAAATCTTTTTTTTTTTCCATCATCATATTTAGTGAGGTAACAGGCAGCAGGAATATTGCTCCTGATCTACAGATGTTTCTTCATAAGAGATAAGGAGAAAGAGTGACGGTGGATTGTGTAACAGCCGTGTGGAACATTTCCACAGACTACTGATAAGCTCTCTCTCTTTCTCTCTCTTTCAGAGATCAGTCAGTCGTCTTACGCTCCGCTAGCAAACTTCAGCTGTGGTATTCTGGCCGGTGTTCTGGCCTCTATTGTAACCCAGCCAGCAGATGTAGTGAAAACTCATGTTCAAGTGAGTCCAGACATCTTCAGCAGGACATCAGATGTGATTCGATACATTTACAAGGTAACAGATGCCCTGATTCTCCCGACATGCACCTCTCTCTGCCACTTAAGACTGGCACTCAAATAAAGCAAGAAGCAACACAGCTCATCTAATCAGATCAGACCCAGAACTATTTGTTTTATAATGGTGCTATATTAAGTGAAAAGAGTGAGTGCTGCCTGTATAAAAGTGAAGTATGTCATTTATGCAACAGCAGCTTCACCAATCAGAAGGACACAACTAATGACTGTTTTCAGACAGGTTTCCACAAACACTTTCACCATCTGCTATCGTACCTGTGTTAGAAGCCCTGTTAGAACACTCAAAAATCAGTTGGCAGTTCCTTTTGAATTTTGGGGAAAAAACTGACACACCTCATGTTTAAATCTGCAAAATTCTTCAGATTCCAACAAGTCTGGAGATTCCATTGGGCCTCTTCAATATGAGTCTTATTAAATAAATAGAAAGGTTTGTCATTCACATTTTAGATCTGATTAGACTGACCTGCAGTGTTATTACAACTAAAACGATTACGAAACATTTTCATTAATTGAAATAAAATAAAAACATTAGATGAAACATTAGACTATAAACTAAACGGAAACTAGAAATGTTGCCTTGACAACTAACTGAAATCAAATAAAAACCATGACTTTATAAATTTATTTTTTTAATTCATTTTCATAAAATTTTTCATGAAAATGTGAATTCAAACTCTTTCGGATCTTCCAAAAACATGGACAAGGAACAAAATTACGAACTAACTAAATAAATAAATAAATAAATAACTGAAAATAATATATATATAATAATATAAATAATTAAAAGCTAATTACAGCTCAAAAATGAAACCTAAAAAATGAACCTTATTTAAATATATGACGATTTGTCTGTTAGGAGCATGGTTTGGTGGGGTTTTTCCGTGGCGCGGTTCCTCGCTCTCTCAGGAGAACCATGATGGCGGCGATGGCGTGGACGGTGTACGAGCAGCTGATGGCTCAGATGGGCCTCAAATCCTGAGACTGATCAAAACTACATCAACAAGATCTTCACATGGGATGTTTCTTTGACTGTGATCCATTTTATTCTCAATTAACTGAAGTGAGAATCATGCTGTAAACCAGTGGTCTTAAACTCAATTCTTGTAGTCCTGAAGACCTTGGATTACACACATTAGCTGGATCAGGTGTGCTTGATTAGGGTTGGAGCTAAACTGTGCAGAGCTGTGGCCCTCCAGGAATTGAGTTTGAGACCAGTGCTGTAAACACAGATGTGAACTTTAAAATGCACTTTATGCCCACTTTGCTTCTCTTGTCTGTTTGTGAGTAAATAATGCTGCATATGTTGTGCTATAATAAAGTTTTTATATACGATGTACGATCTTTATGAGGATGCTGTATGTTTGATTTTTGGTATTTTAATTTACATATATAATTTAGCAAACACAAAGCGGTTACATTAGCGGACTTTCGTGAGCAAAATGTTGTAGCGATATAGGCCTACAGTATGAGGAAGAACTCGAAGAGAGGTCCATTTCAAACCCAGCAGCTTTATGTTGGGCAACACAGCGTATATGCTAGAAAACGCGAAATCTGCTTTGAGAGATTTTTTTTTCTTAAAGGAGACATATTATGCCCCTTTTTACAATAACATTAGCGGACTTTCGTGAGCAAAATGTTGTAGCGATATAGGCCTACAGTATGAGGAAGAACTCGAAGAGAGGTCCATTTCAAACCCAGCAGCTTTATGTTGGGCAACACAGCGTATATGCTAGAAAACGCGAAATCTGCTTTGAGAGATTTTTTTTTTCTTAAAGGAGACATATTATGTCCCTTTTTACAATATGGATGTGTCTGTGAAGTTTCAGCTCAAAATACCCCACAGATCATTTATTATATCATTTTTGAAAATGCCTATTTTGAGTGGAAGCAGAAACACGCTGTTTTTCGGGCCTGTCTTTTTAAATGCAAATGAGCTGCTGCTCCCCGCCCCCTTTTCCAGAATAGAGCTGCGCCATTACAACTCGTATCTGCTAAAAACATCTGTTTTGGTTCTGATTCTCATGTTTATCGCGCTGAAATCATGCGTTTTAAACCATATGAGTTTAAACTTCTGATAGACGTTTTTCTGAGAGCACACATCCGAAGCACACGGACAGAAAGCGGCTGTCACAGCATGTGAGTACTAAACTAAATTCTCATTCACACACAAGTTTACATTAAAAACACACTCGAGATACAAAAACAGTCAGTTATGTCTGTGAAGGTAAACAGCTGGGAAATAAATCACATGTTTATTTTAGATCTGTGTGGCAGCAGCAATATACAGTAAATTAATCAATAAATCCACAGGCTGGGACTCTAAATGGTGTTCTGTGCTCGTCTGTGCAGCCAAAGACTGAACAGTTAGCATGTTTTGCTCAAACTTTCATCATGGCATTAGAGCCGGTACACCGTTGTCGCTTGCGAAAACACAATGAGGCGCCGTGGGTGTAAACTTTCATGATTAAGGGGCGGTAATATTATAATGAGATCCTTTTGCCACGTCACCAAGGGAGAGAAATCAGACGCGCTCGTTTTTTCAGATGCTTGCAGAAAAAGGCTTCCCAAAACAAAGTTACTGGGTTAATCTTTTTCACGTTTCATTGGTTGCAGAGCCGATCCTCCCTATACGCAAAGTAAGCAAGCTGCTTAGGGCCCCCAAAACACCAGGGGGCCCCCTTGCTCTCAAAGATGATTTCATTTTAGTTTTGTTTTTGAATTTGGCCAGCGGTTATGAAAACATGAATGTTCATTTCTTTTAATGTGGTGTGCTGTCACCCTTTCTACTTAAAATCAGTCAAATCATGTAACGTGAATGTCATACAGTCTCTTGCTCGAGACAAACAAAAAAAAACAGTTGAAAGCGTACCGAGCCGCGGAAGAGACACTCCCCCCGGTTTTGCTTAGGGCCACCAGAAGTCTAGGATCGGCACCTTTAACACGATATTCGATTAGCCAATGGGGAAAACTTGCAAGGGTAAACGTGACAGCACCTTTACAATGAGGAAGCGTAAAACAAGTGATTCATCATGAGGAGGCAATAACATGAGTGCTAACAATATAACATCACATAAATTCGAATGGTTTCGTTGTGTGCATTTTTATAAGACTGTTTTCTGCTACCACTGAATTTCTGACCATTACCGCCCACTCTGCAGTGTGTCTGTTGCGCACCCGCAATTTTTTTTTGTCCACTCCTGCATGCTCCCACAAACATGTATATAATTTTCGCGCATCAGGGGGCCGCTATTAATATGTAGAGTATTAAAATCGCTTTTGCATGAGCGCTCGCGGTTCACTTTGACTTTTGATTTCGCGATCACGCGTGCTCTGTGTAGAGGAAGCACATCTTACAAGAACAGATATTTGTCAATGAGCTCAGGATCGGTCGAGCAGCAAATCCTCCAGCATGATCTGTCAGTCATCTCTTCCTAATCTTAACCCCTGATCAGTCAAATCTGCCTCCTGCAGCTCCTGTTGGATGCAGGGTTGTCAAATCCGCATTTTTCCCATGGAATTAGGCTACATTTAAAATGTTGCCATGGGTTGATTTTCCCCTGGTTTGAAATATTGCATAAATTACATTTGACTGAAATGCTTGTATTGAAACATTTTGCGTCTACCTATGATACAACTGTTTTGTGAAGGAGGGCCACTAGAAGCCTTTCAGCTGTGTTTATGATCAATCTGACAGTGACTGTATACTTTGAGTTTTGATATTTGGGATATGGTCATTGCACTACTTTGGGGGCTATTTTAACCCCATTTTTTCAACAGGGACAGTAGTTGTGTTGCAGGCTTAAATTTGGCTATGATTGACAGGTTAATTTTATGTGTTGTTTATTCAGAAAAATAAAATGATTAAACAAACAAGACTCAGAGTCTCATTGCGCAGTCACAAGATTTTCTTATTTTTTTTACAGACATTTAAGAAACTAACATTTTTTACTGTCTGTCAGTATTTTCTGATCTGACTGAGGGTCATCAGCAGAAGTGAAGACTTTCTGAATGAAGGGAGCAGATAAGAGTGATAACCTCCAGCCTCTTACGCAAAACCCTTCAAACGATTCGAAGTACACAAGCCATTACAAGACAACAGCGATTACATGTGACATGCTGAACGAGTAATGCTTTGCATTAGCTTCTGTGTTTGACATGTTCAATATTGCAACATTGAGAGACACTTTAATAAAGCATCAGTATATTGTCGATTCCTAATCATTCACATTCTTGAATGTTTTATATTTCTGATATAGCTAATTGAACGTTTTTTAAAACGCTTTTTCCAAGAAATTTTCATTTGTAAGTTTCAAAGAGCCTTACCTACATAACTGTGCCATAGAGCGTCCCCCAATAACACATTCACTGTGCAGTCAAAAAAGAAAAAGAGAAAATAAAAAAAAATCAGAATCTTTGTCATTTTAAATATATATATATACACACACACACATGCATACATACATACATCTCTGTTATTTCTTTATTTTTTTTTACCAGTTTTACTGCAGTAACAATAAAAACGGCATTGTGGAGGAACCTATGAATAGCCACAGTTTTGTAAGTGAACATCCAGTTGTCTATGTAAGGCTCTTTACCAGCGAATTATTTTTAGTTGTTTTGGTTTTCTGGAGATTTTCAGAGAGAACACAATGACATTTTAACCTAGTAAACGAGGGACGTGATGATCGTGCTCTAGTTTCATCCTTATTTACCAGCGAGGATTTATACTTTAACCTGTACAAGAACAACCTCATTGATAACACACACACACACACGCACACACACAGACACAGACAGACAGTCCTAATTTTTGCAGCTCATTTTCACTTTCACTTCTTAGGTTTTTGGGATTTATGCATATATTCATATAAAATAAATGGTTCCTAAATTGCTAATTAAAAACATGGAAACATGTTTGTTGTGCACTGTGTAAACATTTGTGACGCCGTCATTTAGGACATGGTCTCTCAGCAAACAAGTTGCGACAGAATGTACACAGTGTTTAACCGAGGAGTCACTCCGCGTCTCGCCATTGTCTTAATATGGTCTTTGTCTTAATATGGACAATCCATCCCGTGTGTCTTAATATGGTCCCCCGTCCGTCACAGCAGCGGCTTCTAGCGTAGAGGACAGAAAACAGTACAGCGACTCATAGAAGAAAAAAAACCCGCACACAGTCGCCATCCAGCGGCGAGGAAGAACAGTACAGCAGAAAACAAGCGCCTCCTGCATAGGCCTACAGTCGAGGAATAATTTCATTTATTTACTTACATATGCACAATGTATCCAAAACTCAGTCTTCACCAATTCTCCAATAAAGTGAGAGGCTAAATGAGCATTCATTGATCACATATTTTGCTGCATGTGATGATTATTATACACACAATTATAATTCACGTCTGTGGTAATTTTGTTCATAGTTTTCTCAGACCTCTTGAAGACATTTCTAGCATTACAACCAACAGGATTCTCCTGTTTCTAAAAGCTTGCTTCTCTTCCAGATTATCATTATGAATATATTTAGGATTTTTTTTCAGATAGTTTTTTTTTTATTTCCTCTGAGCTCATCTAGTAAACATTTGCATTTGATAGATTCTTCTTCTTCTGAGAGAAGTTTTAATTTCTCGATTATGTCTAACATAACATACGCATGGCAAAAAGCAATGGAATCATCAAAGACCGTTGACCATTTATCTAGTGCATGTTCAACAAATTAAAAATGATGCAGGCAGATAAAAAAACACTTGAATGGCCACTTATTCACACAACAGTAGCTGCATTTTCTCAGTGTTACATCTGAAATAGTAGCCTTTTGTATCAGTTGTTTGTAAGTAAATATCAGCTTCAACCACTGTTCATTATCTGTGCCCTTCTTACATATTTTGATTCGTTATGAGGAACCGCTTCAGATAATTCTGTGAGAGACCGGTCTAAATGCAAACCTTAAGACGTGCTTTTTAAACTTACGAACACCACAACCCCTTTCATAGTATTATTCATTACAGGGCTCTACACTTACTTTTCTTTTTAGGAGAGCTTGTGCTCCTAATTTAAGAAATTTAGGAGCACGGTCAAAAATTTAGGAGCACCTTCTAATCAGTAATCAAAAATTCTGATAAAAAATTAACCTTCCTATTACGAGGTGATATTTGACTCCTTAAAGTGATTTACAGGGAATTTTGTTTTTACCTTTGTAATGGCATTTTTCTAACTTTATTAAAAGTATGTCATCTTTTATGTCAAATTAAAAAATATATTTTTATAAGCTTTTTATCATTTCTAATTAAAATAACAGAATAAAAACAAGTAGAATAAGAAGTATAATAAGAATAAGTT